CCCCCCCCCCCCTCCCCTGACACCAGGTGGAGGAGTACGGGCTACCTGTGCCTGGATACGGCCTCCTTGGTGTGTGTGGAAGAGGGTCTCGATGGCTCGTGTTGAGGGTATTAAGGCCCTGAATGTCTTATTTTACCCACGGTTACTTGGTTTTCTAGCACGTGGGCTTGTCCGTCCACCCCTTGCCTCAGCTTGGACTCGCTCACTGGTACCTATCTGGGTCTTGGCTCTGGGGGAGTGACCCTCTGGGGCAGGTCCCTGGCACCTCCTGCCCCAGCAGCGTGGTGCAGGATCTCCCGTGGCCCATATGGCCCCTTTCGTGGTCTGCCTCTGCGACTATGCAGTGGGGGCTGCTTTGAGCCCAACATCCCCGTGGTGCCCCTGCACAGCCCCGGGCTGGGGCCATCAGAGCAGCCGCCGTTGCACGCTCACAAGCACGGTTCAGGTCCTTGCTTCTGCAGGAGCCGTGTCCCCTAGCCCGCTCCTTCCACGGTGCAGGGTTTTCCACGGGCTCAGCGGTGATTGAGGCCGCCTCCTTCCTAGCTGAGCTCATGAGGCACCTGCTCCAAGTCTCAGCCTGGGAACTTCCTGCCTCCTCGGGATAGGGAAGGGGGTGGTGTCGGCTTCTCCCCCCAGCCGGGCTCCTTGGTGCATTGTCTGCGTGCCCAGCTGCGCAGGAAACGCGCCAGCTCGCCCGTCTCCCAGGCCCGGGGATGGAGGGGGTGGCAGTGTGCGAGGGGAAGGGCCCGGGCTGCTGCAGCCAGAGGTGCAGAACAGCTGCACTCGGGTTCGTGCTAGCGGCATGGATCTGCCCTGTGCTCCAGACCATGCTCGGGGCAACTGGAGGAAGGACCCATGTGTGTGGGGGAGCTTCAGGGGTGGGTTCAATTCCCAGCGCTCCCTTGGAGCCCCTGGTGGGGGCATTTCGTCTCCGTGCCTCGGTTTCCTCGGTCCAGGAAACGAAGCGGTTGAGACCTGTGATTCTCAACCGGGTGCAATGGGGCCTGTCTAGACGGTGACCCTGGCAGCAGGAAGCCTCCAGCATCCTCGGTGGGGAGCAGACTGTGCACGGGGCTCCCCAGCCCCACGCTGCGCCCAGGTCCCACGGCGCGGGCAGACATCGCGGCGGCGTTAGACGGAAGGGCCTGCCCTGTGCATCCGGCTTGCTGGCCTCTGGTCCACCGGGGTGGACAGGGGATTAACCCTTCACCCCTGCATCCCTGGGTCCTGGATTGAGACCTGCTGGGGTTTTTGTTTTGTTTTTTTTTTTCTCTCTTGATGCTTCCAGAGCAGCGGGAGATGCCTCCAGACAAATGTCACGGTAGCAAAAGGCCTGGATTTAGTTCCCTTTGAAAGGCTTGTTCCTCCCCAGGACCTGTGCAGGGCAAGTCAGAGGTGGCAAAGCCTCCAATGCCTGCTCCTGCTGCCCCACTCTGCCCCCAAACCGCCCTGCTCTGAGATATCCGATGGGGCTGGCTTGGGAAAACTACTCTTCTCGAGAGGGTGCATTTTCACTTCCTTCAGTAGAGGAATAAATAGCAGCTAAACTGGTGCACCGCACGGCTGGGGTGGGGACCAAGGACCTGTTTTTGAGCTTTAGGGTGCTTGACTAAGACTCAGCAAAGTGGGTTCAATTCCCAGTCCTACTACAAACTCCCTTAAAAACCTCGATCGGGGCATTTTGTCTCAATGCCTCAGTTTCCCCTATACAGGAAACAAAGCTGAGTCCCTGTTCAGATGGATGATTCCCAACTGGGCAGGTCTTGAGATCCTTTTAAGGCTGCCGTGGGGTACCGTGCCATCTCGGGTGTGCATGCAGGGCTTGCAAGAGGGTCTTGGAGACCTCAAATAGGGATCCACAATGTCAAAACCTGTGACCTTTCTGAGTCATTTTATTTCTCTAGTCCAAAAACAAGGGCAAGCCAAGAGCTGGCATTGTCTGAGGGGGGACCTCAAGTCT